CCCCCCCCCCCTCTCTCTCTCTCTCTCTCACTCACTCACTCTCTCTATCTACTCCTCCGCGATCTGTCTCTTTTTGCGTTGGTCCTGAACTATCCGAATTCCATTTCCGTCCAATTACAATTCATCCCCGTTTCAAAGCGGCAGTCACGCCGCGTTCATTTCGCAAGCTCGCTGCCGCCAGGAACAATCATTTCTTTTCTCTTCATTTCATCTCCCTTCCGCCTTTTCAACACGGTCACACCTCGTCCTTCGCTTTCTTCCGTTTACTGACGGACCAATAATGATATATATTTGCGTTTTAAAGCTATTTGTAATATATAATACTTATTACAATATTACTGAAATGATGAATGCTTGAAAGCACTATAGTATTTATAATATTAAAATTTAATCGGTAATTACAGTAAAATGTAATACATGTAATAAAACACACATTTATCGATTGATTAATTTAAAATATTAGACAGTAAAATATGTGTGTGTGTGTGTGTGTATATATAAATGCTATGAATATTTTGTAGACAATAAGAGGGAGAGAGAGAAACTTAAAAAAAATTTATATTATCTCTAAAATTGTTCCGAGTATTTAAGTGAAATTAGCTGCAGTGCGTTTTGCGCACAGACATGAAATAGTGCACCTGTGCGATAAGATGAGAAGCATAACTAAAGTGAAACGGGCAGTAGAGTGAAGTTTAAGGAGTTTTGGATGCGAGGGCGAGTCCTTGCGAAGAAAGTTCACCGAGGAGTGGAGAAACGGTGAGAAATTAAGCAGATGCTCAACGTTCAACGCCATAAGAGACAATTTCGCGACATGGATTTTTTTTCAACTTCAGTAACGACATAAGTAACTGGATCTTCATCCTCCATTGCACTTTCGCTCTTCTAGCCGAAGTAAGAACGGAGAAGGAGGTCCTCCAATACTTTTGCGAAGCGATGCTTCGGGCGTATCCATCCAGAAGAAAAGCGTTCTTGAGCTACAAGACTCCATTACTCTCATTAAACCCCGTGAAAGTACCTTTTTTATACCCCGATAGCTAATCTCACGGCGATCGATAAGCTTTAAGACGAAACGACTCAACAGCGTATAGGTAAATAAGTGACTATAAATAACAATTAATTTTAACGTGATAATGTCTCTTAATAACCCACTGACTAAACGTTCTATCGACTGATAAATAAAAACTAACAAGAAAAATATTAAAATAAAATCTTATTTCATTCACTGTACGTTCTAATCCGTAGCTGTTGCATCAATTATAGTATCTATTTTTTTTCGAAAGCTTTGACTCGCTACGCTTTGTGCTGTATCAATCTGCCACGCGAAGCAACCGCGATATTTTCTTTTGTATCCAATGTGTCCGGTGTTTGCGAACGAGCAATGCTGTTGACGTTTCTTTGATCACTATGGTTTTCGATAGACCCTTGACAATTATTGCCTCTGGGTCTGTCATACCTCGATTATGATTGATTGATGACAGATACCATCCAGCTCAAAATTGTTCCGTTGTAAAATTTATTAAACGAATTAATGTTAACCTTGTTTATTCATTTTTAAAAATCTGTACGAATACAAAATTTCTTTTTTAAACCTACTTGTCTACGTCTTTTTTCAGAAAATATTTTACAAACTGACTATAACTATACTTTTATACTATATTTTTATAACTAACTATAACTGACTATAGAATAACCATGCTATATTATTCCAATTAAATTTTGATATTATAAAAAAATAAGTACCATATTTAATACTTGTGATAATATTTAATACTTGAAATATAAACAACCTTGCATTAATTATATGGAAAATTTAATCTGGATGAGTTAGTTTTCATAAATATAATGTAGCTTATAATGTAAACAAAAAATGTCGTAAACATAAAGATCAATAATGGATAGTTTATGAGCTATGATATATCGAAGATGTAAAACTTGTGTGCATAAAGCATTTTGGATACATTATAACTCAGAAACATGCTATATATTATTGAACCTTAATTGTGTGTATTTTATTCATCATATATAAGTTGTAAAAGTTAACCCATTCTATCGAGGTCCAACTTTATATATAATTAGTACATAATTTTAATTGAACCTACAATTTAATTTTAAAATATTTTTATTAATTTTAATTGATAAAAAATTGGAAAAAAGTTATTACTAATCAAAATGAATATATAAATATTATTGCTAACACAAATAAAAAAAGTAATTTTATGTAGCGTCAAGTAGAACTTAGTAATCGTACAAAACGGTCAAGGAGAAAAATAAAACTCTCGATTAATCAATGTAATCATATTACATTTCGTCATTCGTTTTTCAAGTAATACGTAACGCCTCGTCTCTTTTATAACAACTTTTGACCATAATAGGCAAGCGAAAACTCCCGTTTCATCTATTGTTTTTTTTTTATGTTCACAGGTCAATTTATCGAGGACGTATCGTTTCGGCCAATCATCCAATTAAATGCCCACGCGGCCAATTCATTGCTCAAGTCTTTACTAAAAAAAAAAAGGGACGAGTAGAGAGCGTTGATGGGTCGCCCACGTATTCTCGGACGATGCGTTATCCAGATGATGGTGCGCCGAGCAGATTATTGACGATGAAGTATTGCGTGGTACTGTCACCCTGGCCTGTGAATTATCGGCGAGCTCTCGCCTCTCGTACCACGAACCGAAGTATAATCATCATTCTTGCCATCGGCGGCATAAACTGATGATCCACGATATTCACATAACGCGTATTGTACACGCACCACGACCATGGCTGATGGTGCATCCGCGTTCGCCCTCAGGCTGGATCGCCAACAGCAAACGCGCGGTTTCTGATCGGCGCAGCGGCGCGGCGGCGTGTCGATGCATCGCCTAACACGGCTGGCAATTAAGAGATTTGAATGGAGATTCATCGTTTCGCAATCGCCGGCTTTGACGATACCGGATGGCACCACTGCCACGATTGGCCTCTTAATGCGTACGTTGAAGGGTTTGATGACCGCGAGAATGAGGCGGCGACCCGTAGTTGATGCCTTTTGAGATCTCGAGCGCGATAAGTAACTGTTACTTGATTGTTTGCTATTACCGATGCATGATTTACTTAGGATAAATAAGATTCTATGGAATATATGTATATGCGTGCACAAGAAAGAATTAAGATATTAGCATATGTAATATAGTATGCTTCTGATTTTAAGTTTTTGCTTCATACACGTTTCAATTTTATATATTGTGTGCATTTTTTATTTATATGTGAACAATTTCCGAAATTAATATTATATCATTGTTATAAAAATTTTATACTAATCAATACTGAAAGATAGTAGTTAATTAATAATTTATTTCGAGTATTAGAGGCACTGTATGTGTATCAGGGTTGGGTAAGAACTAGTTAAAGCGTTAAAAGTCAAAAAAAGTAAAAAGTTAACTTTTAATTTAACTTATTAATTTTAAATGCATTTATTTTCAACTTAATTTAGTTACTTTTAAACTTTAATTTTTTTTAATTGAAATTTTTTTTATCTCTTTTAATACCAATATTTTTTTCAATAAAATCTTAAACGTTAGAAAATTAATTTAGATAAAGCTCAATAATTTTGTAATTAGAAACCCTATAATAAGATACTTATAATAAATATATAATGATTATTTATCAAAATATTAAATAAATTATTCAAAATTACGAACATTATATATAATAAATAAACGTATTAATATTTTTTTTAAATTTTGCGAGTAAACCATCTCTATATAGTCTAACATAAGTAGTGTAGTACTGAATACACTCAGTGCGTGAATTATGCTCTCTCTCACTCTCTCTCTCTCTCTCATGCACAGCTCATGCATCAGCGTCTAACATAGCCGTTGTCTATGCTTATTAGTATTATTCAATTTTGTATTTTATGACAGTTATATCATATAACTTATTAATTACTAATTTTGAGTATCAAAAGTGCTTTCAATATTCAAAATAAATTTAATTAAAATTAACTACTGTCTTTCAATCTTAAATTGACCAGTATTACATTTTTATATCAGTGATATCGCGGTGTTTAAGGATTATATTAGCAATAGCCAGTTAGATTTCTGTAAGGGCAGTGTGTAATTTTCTATCTTACACTGTTAAATCTATATTATAATTTATTGTACTCACCTCTTTCTCGATGGTATAACGGTTTGATTTTGGTCGATGTTGATCTATGAAATCTGTCAACAAAGAAATTAGTAAAATAGTAAGAAAACCGATTGTGTGTGTTACAATATAAACAAAGTTTCTTTAAGAGAGTCTTAAATAATTTAGTTATTTAAATATCCTCTACACAGACCTTTATAAATTTGACACCCGCGACTTTAAATAAATGAAAATTTTTATACACAAAATGATAGGATTTCGTTTATTGTAAGTTGTTTATAGTAAGAATAATTTTGTTTGTAGTTTCTTATATTAAAAAATATGAAGGTTTAAACAAATTATTCACTCGACTTTAAGGTAAAAAAAAATTGTTAATATGTTTCGACTTAGAATCGTTTGTAGCTGATTATATTATATAATTATAACTTTTATACAATTTTTGTTACAACTTAAAAACGATATTTTAAATAAAATATATTAAACACTTGTTCTTATATACATTAAATATTTACTTGTAAAGATTCTTTATGAACAATACAATAAAAAATTCTCATCGGCTTTTTACTTTTGGCAGTCACTATATATTTCAATATATTAACAGAATTGAAAATTTTATTAAATTCCCTATCATCCCCTTTTTTTCCTTTTCTAATATGACTTTTTCTATTCGTGGAAAACGATTAATAGTAATATAACTGATTTGGAAAAAAAAGCACTTCTAGCTAATACAAAGCGGTTTTCTATATTGAATATATAAAAAGTATCTATATTAAAAGGTTATAAACAGAACGAATGTAACGCCTGGCATTTATAAGATAGATCAAAAGCCATGCATCTATATTTTCGATAATATTTCGAGCATCCTGATCTATTGAAATCATTAGTGTGAGTAATAATCCATATCCAAATAGCAGCGTTTCTTCCTACACGCTTAATTCTACTAACAATTGAACTAGCCATCAGACCTTCGCAGTCGATCCTCCTCTCGCGTATATACGCATCAATAACAATCAGGAATTTAACTGGTCGCTTTTTGTCATGCAACCTTCCGATCTTCTTCGATCTAACTCGCCCAATCTGTCTGTGGAGACGCATATAAAAGGACCGCGATGGAACGCGATACGAAACAGTATAGCACGGCGTATGTCCAGCGTTGACATCCTCTCCGAGTGATCGATCTCGCGTAACGCGTTACGTACGTGTAGAATCATATACGGCCGTTCCCTCTTGAGTGGCGACACGTGAGATCACCCGTTCTCGGTTCGCTGGCAACGCTATAAAAGATGTCGCAACCGGAACAGGGCGGCAGTGCGCAGTGCGAGAAAGACATGTCCACGTCCAAGAGCAGCTCAATGTTACGTCTGAATCAGGAGAGCTCCGCCGATTGGCAAGACCACGGCGACACTGACTCGGAGGTCAGTGAGAACGACTTCCTCACTAAAGGTGCTTTCCTGCTCACCCCTAGCCACGAACTGAGTATGGAAAAGGCCGCCACCATCTGCGAGAAGATGAACTTCCGGTGAGCGCATCACTTTGGCAGACTACCTCGTCGCTTGGGACGAGGTTTATTTCCAGGATCTTAGGTCGTTCAATAAAAGAGACGTTAAACCGGATATCGCACCCCGATAACTATGATGAACGAGTGTCGAAGTACCGTCGGTACTAGTTTCTCTTAGTTGCTTTATCATCCGCCTTGCATTCATCGATTGTGTTCGACAAATTTATTGTTGTCGCGAAAACAAATACAAGCTTTCGTACCGTATATAAAATTAAAAAACTGTATATTTAAAAAAAGTAATTTATCTAAATTCTTGATATACGTAATAATTCTTTAGAGGATTCCCCGGGAAATATACTTGCAAATTTGTGTATAAATATTATCAAACGTCAAGATCTGCTTTGACCACAAAAATAGAAATCTTTCTCTTATTTGATTTACTTTCATTGATATGTATTTTATTTATAATTAATAATTCTTTAAATTAATTGATTAAGATATGGTAGACAATAATACAGTGGGTGACAAAAATTTCCAGTCAACACACCATATAATTTTACAATAATCTTTGTTAATCTATTTTTCAGTTCATTATAAGTTGATAAAATTATTATTATTATCAATTTAAAAGCATATAATATATTTTAAATACTTATGTATTAGATTTTTATTTGTAAAAATTCTTTATGTGAGTAATGTAATAAAATTATTCATTGACCGGAAACTTTTAATAGCCACTGTAAATGACTTTGTTTCATCGTAAAAAGCCAGCTAACACTAATTATTCATGAAGAACTGAATTGTATTCCTAAGTATTATATATTCTGGGACAGAAAAAGAATTTTCATAGAATGTTCAAATATTAATGAAATGTTCAGAATATTGTATGAATACTTCTATATATATATATATATATATATATAAATTCTCGTAAATAAGAATCATTAGAAAAGAATATAAAGAGTGCAACATTTTGCCTATGATGAGTCTCTAAAATTAAGTTCCAAAATGAAAGCAAATCAAATGTCTTGACAGTACAATTTCGTTTATAAATTAATTTAGATCTCTGCATCGAGAATTACTAGAAAAATTATAAATTTACGGAATATATATAGAACATTCTCGAAATATAACGATGAATGAAAGGAATATTTAACCATTAATTATTATTTAAGTGTTGCTCTTACATTCTGTAAATACTTCGGGATATTCCGGAATATTATGGAATGTTATTTTGAGATTTTAGAAATATTTTATAAATATTTCAGATTTTATAAATAAACTTAGCATTAGCTGATTACTTTAACTTCGTTTTATCGGAAACGAATACGATGATTAAAACAACAATGCAAGTTGCACATTTTTTTCATTTTAAAATGTACAATAATTTATGAAAATAAACAGTTACATTGACAAAAATTAATTAGATTTTACCATTTTTTATACTTTGTTAAAAACAGGTTATAAAATTTTCGAATAATAGTCAAGATATAATATTTATACATAAAGATCGATTTACATTAAATTTTGATTCTAACTGATCTGTGGCATTCGTACCGTATCGACTGTGTATTGCCAAGATTACTTTGGCCTTTACTTAGTTTAATCCGCAAGAGACTAAAGTACTTTGTGTCCGATTCGGATCTAAAAATGGAGTTAAGTCAGCTGATGCTTCGTGTGAAGTAGTAAAGGCAGTAACAGATCGGACAACAAATCCATTAAGCCAACTACATCTGATGCTGTCTGCGAACGTTTTTTGCGTATCAACAATGAATTCATATGCGTGACAGTGGTAGGAATTTATTCGCGTCTAAAAAACGGTACTAATCTTCAAACTAATTTTCGTCTATCAATCTAATATTTTTTGGCACAAGCAAAACTTTGTTCTTAAATTTCATCCTCATTTTTATTTAAATTTCAATTTTTATTAAATAAAGGTTTTGATATTTAAGTTAAAAACTATGTAGTCATAATGGAATAGAGATGTTGAGAAGTAAACTTTTAAAGTTCAAAATAATAAAAAAAACTTGAGCTGGATAAAAAAGATTGTAAACGGAGGAAGTCAAAATATGATTATAGACGGAGAGTTAACCGCGATGTTAGTTTATTACGTAGAAGATTGTTATAGAGTTAAAACGTTTCTCTTATTATTCATATTATAATCAAAACAACTTTCTATTGTGTGATCTAGAGGTGCATTTTCTTTGACGAAGACTGCCACCGGCATTCTCTTCAAGTTCAGCAACATCGACGACTTTCAGGCGGTGTATAAAAAAGGTTTTCACAAAGTGACGGGCGCTCGTTTCTATAAAAAGGTAGATATACCGTATTTTCGCAGCTTAATTAATTTTGTATTTATAGAATCATTTATGAAAATATTTCATCTTATCAATAAATAATGACTGGCAAAGTAAATCTGTCACAGATATTAGGTGTACAAATTAGTTCGGTCCGTTTTTTGTGTTCAAAAATGCATTTATTTCAAAATAAAATGAATGGACAGATTAATTAAAGTATTGTCCATCGCTGGCTACTACTTTTTTCCATCTCTCAGGCAATTTACGAATTTCATCTCGAAAAAATGACTCGTCTTTGGAAAACGGACTGAACTAATTTGTACTCCCAATAATTTAAAGTGTATTAGCGTTTTTGAACTATACATCCGGGGGCACATTGCATTATACTGCACGATTACATGGGAAACCTTACTAAAGCCAAAGCACCTGACACAGAGAAATACCTTAAAGCGCTTCTGCAGCTAATCTCGGGATCTGCAAGGATTCTGTACACCCATGACACAAACACATATATTCTAGATATGTAACAAAATACAAAAAATGCTCAATAACGAAAATATTTTTATAATAATTTATAAAAACAAACTCGATGTTGAATTTGATTATATTAACTTTAAGCTGATTGCAGAAATATTTGCTTTATTCTTGAAAGCAATCCCTTTTGCATTTATTTTCTAATATGCATACACACACATACACACATATACATTAAAAAGGGCGAACTATAACTGTTCGTGGTAATTACTTGACAAAATAATTATGGTTAAGAATTCTATTTTTATAACTGTTACTGTGAATTATAATCACTTTCAGTGCCAACTATATATTTTTTGATAAATAGAATTATTATTATTAACATTATAAAATAATAATTACCATAAAAATGGAGCTCATAACTATAATTATTTTACCTGCAATTATAATCATAAATGCCAAACATTTTTCTCTCAATATAATTTTCTTCTTAGCTTTTGTAAAATTTTGTAATAGTTTTTGGATTTTTTCTTAAAATGATATGCATTATAATTCGTAACATCTAGGTTGCTATACCATGTAGACCGGCGAAAATCTTCACGGTCTACGTTCTAGATGTGCCTGAAGAGCTGCCGGAAGACGATATTAGACACGCTCTCTACAAATATCGATCGATCGTCGAAGTAACCAGGCTACCCCTGAATACAGGAACTGTTTGTGAGTCACGAAAATGCAAATGCTTCTCCTCCATATTTCTCATACCGTCGCTCTTTCCAGGGGAAAGCTTCAGATACACCCTATATGC